AGTTTAGTATTTTTAAATAACAATTATCTGATCCCCATGCCAACAAAAATGATATCATATATTATATCAATACAATATATTAATAGATAATATGAATTATAATATATACACTATATTGACAATATATTAATTTTATATATAAAATGTAATTAATATGGAATTATATATATTATGTATTAATTTTGAGCAATTTTTAGGTTCTTAGTAAAAACCGAGAATATTAAGAATATTTCCAGCATAAGAAGTCTGTGTTAGTTGCTTCTTCTATTAAAAGTAATTTTTTACTATATCTCAGTAGAATCAGAAGTGTGCAGAGGGTGTTTCATCATTCAATGCTCAATGTTTTGCATTATCCATGTAAAACTCTGTACACGGTTCCTTGAAGTACAGTTGGGATCTTAATTTGTTTTTATTGAACTCGTAGAGTAGTAGGCCAAAACTAGACATTGAAGAGAAGTAATTTCACTGGTATTTTTTACACTGATCTAGTCAGTCAGAACATGCTTTGCTTTAAAAGTCTCTTGGTATTTGTTCCAATTCCCTTTATATAAGTCTCTGCTATAATTTTTAGGGATAATGGAAGTGTTGTTGTATAATGGTATTTTCAGATCCAAGAAACATTAACATTATTCCACATTTTAAAATAATAAATAATAAATGAAAAAATTAAATAAATAAAAAAATGAAATCCAGCAAACAAGAATTTAAATATGAGAGGGAGTTCATGCTTCAGAAGTATATAAGCAGAGCCATATAATCTCTGATTTGTCAAGCATAACTAAGTCCCTCACTGTGATTATGCTTGGCCAGTCAATCTGGTGAATCTACAGAAACACTGAGAAAAGTCTCTGAAATAACTGGTCTTCTTTTGGTAAGGTTTTGGGTATTCTTTTTTTTTATTATTATTATTCAGTTTGTGCTAATAACAGTCTCTCAAATCTGACTAATTTAAAATTGCAGCTTGCATGAAAACAGCTTTCCCTTAGCTTTAGAAAGCAGATTGCTTCTATTCCTACCTTAAATTTATGCAGTCATTTTTCTGTTAGGAAATTGTTTTGAGTATTACCCATCAGCTTGCAATTTTGCAAAATGGGATGTCACATCCTCTAACAAGCTTCACTCCATAAAACTCCAGATTGATGTTTTAGACCCTTTTATTCATCTTTAACTCTTGAGTGACCTCTGCCAGCTGTCACTGGCAGCTAGGGATCAGCGTGCTGTCCCCCCTGAGATGTAAATTCCTGGGCCACATTCCCCAGGCTGGAAGACCCAGCACCCCCCATCTGTGGAATAAATCAAGGAATAAAAACAACCACCCACATGCACAGTAAATACTATTTCTGCAGAAAATAACTTGTCCTACTTACTATCTAAAACAGTCACAAATATTTAATGTGGCCCAGGATTAAAATAGCTGGGAGTGACATTTGGATGGCAGAATAAAAGAGGTGCTGAGAGGTCTGGGTAGTCTAGCCTGGTGAGAGATTCTGTGCACAGGAGAAACACAAAGGTGTGAGGAGATTGTTGCTTCCTGCTGGAAGTAATTACTCAGCTTCTTGAGAGGGGAGAACATTTTCAGTGAACCCACCTGGTTTTTAAAAGCACTGGTGAGCAATGGAGAGGTTCCTAATACTTATAGCCAGGTTGTTCAAAGATCAGGATTCATTTTAATTTAAACAGTAACAGCAGGAAAAGCCATCTGGCTAAATTATGTATTCATATCCTAAATAATATTTTCTGATTTCTGCAGCGAAAAGTAATGAATAGAACTGTCTTTGTGCTATTTGTCAAGTAATTTTTCACCACGTTGTAATGAAATGATTTGGACATGTGGCATTGTTATACTAATTGTTATTAATTGGTGGTTTTGAACAGGTATCTATTGTAGTGGTATTTGACCAAGAAGCTCAGAATTCAGTAAATCACCAGAGAACCAAATTATTTGAGAATGACTCTAAAATCTTGACAAATTAAAGGACAGGACTGATTCAGAATTACATAATTCTCAACTGTTTTTGTTTTTTTTTTTTTTTAACTCAGCTGAAAATGGAGGAAAATATTAGAAGCCAAGGCAATGCATTGGCTGCTTAACATGGCCATAATTTTTGAAAACTTCTGAAACACAAGAGCAGGTCGAATAAGACAGACTGGCACTTATTGTGAAGGATTTGGGACCCAACTGTGCAGCTTTATTGCTGCTCAGAAAACATCAACAGCCAAATCAAACTGCTAACTATCCTGAGGTGGGTCCATGTTTCTGTGTGCCTGCATGTCCAAGTATATATATATATATATATATATATATTTATAAATACATATATAGAGAGAGATAGATAGATATAGATATAGATATAGATATATAGATATAGATGATATAGATATAGATATGGATATGGATATGGATATAGATATAGATATAGATATAGATATAGATATAGATATAGATATAGATATAGATGATATAGCTATAGCTATAGCTATAGATATAAAATGTGGACAGGAAGAAAGAATTACATACACATATGTCCAAGTAATTAATATAATAGATATATAAATATATATATTCTGATTTTTCTTTCCTGAGTTAAGGTTCCTCGGATGATTCAGTATGTTTCAATGCTGTTAAACCCCTCTGTTGGGATAGTTTCTTAGGGATGCTGGAAGGCAGAGCAGAAGCAGCTCACAGTTTCTGTCTTCATCCTTTCCCTTTTACCTGTCATGGAGGAGCAGAATATGGGAGGGAATAGTGAGCTGAGCTCTCAGCACTTCTCTCTACCACCCTGATTTTCTTCTGGCTCTTTAATCTGTAGGTTTGCTGTGGAATCTTGGAGAATCAGGAACGCATATGGCCACTGATGAAGTGAGGAGTTTTCCTCTTCATTTACTAGGTGCCTCTTGGTTTGTGTGTTTGCATAAAACCTGGTAAAACCTCTCTTCCCATTTGGAGTCAGACAAAAGAGGGAAAGCAGCTATTGCTGTAGCTTTTGAGGAATTCAATCAGCGTAAGAAGTAATAAGGGAAATTTTGTTAAAATTTGATTCACTGTTTTGTGAATGGTACCTCCTGGAAGCAAAAAGGAGCTTAAAATTCATGACAACAGAACTGAGATTTGACAGAAAATGTAAGTACCGAGACTGGTGATGAGAAACGTCCGATACCATTTATTTATTTATTTATTTGTTTATGCCTGATAAAAGGGGATAACCGAGTGCTGACCTTTGTCTGCATTTTCATCTTCAACCCTGTAGTTTCTACCCAAGATGTAAGCCTGACATCCTGAATTTCATGTCTACAATACCATAATATTTTATATATTTCTTTAACTTTACTTTTTTCACTAACTATTATCTAATTAGCAAGTTAAAGTCTCTATGTTTTGTGGGGAGCCAAGAGGGTTAGCCTGCTATCTGAGGGAACTACTTTTCATTTTCCATATAAAAATTTTAAATATATTCATATTCATATTCTTATTCATATTCATATTCATATTTATATAATTAATTAATAATATTGTTATATATACCTCTACTTATATTCAATTATATATTACATATATATATATATTATTTATTTAATATATATTTCCATAGAAATATATATAGGATTTCAGTTCCAAACCTTTTTCCATGCATACACAGTAATTTAGTGACTAGAAAGCTTATTCTGTTTAGAGAACCAGAAGTCTTGCAAGCTATGTACAAAACTGAAATTAAATAGAATACTCTTTTATGTCCATGGGATTGTTACCATGGAAGAAATCAGCCCTAAGATCTGTGGAGTGAGGAACAGATTGACATTTTTTCCTGTTTCTTCATCATCACATGAAATGACAATTTATTCAGCTTTGAAGGATGAAACTCTTACAGTCCCATAACCATAGAATGGTTTCAGTTGGAAACCTCCCTGCCATGGTAAATAGTAACACTTGATTGGGCTGGCATTACTGATTAATAAAGAGCTGCTTCTGCAGGCCCAGAATACTGAAATATAAGGACAACTTACCCCAACTGAGCAATGTTCATGCTAAGTCTATTCTGTCATAAATTCACAGATCTGCCTCTCATTAATGTCAGTGGAAGTTCTCTGGCAAGCTGGAATAGTATCAGCCCCTAAAGAATGACATGATTTAGATACCAAAGGACAACTAATAAAAGAATCATGTATCAGCTGAAATAAATTAATCATTTCACCAACATTAAGTACCTCGTGCACTGGTGAAATTGATGTAAATTGAATATGATATCGATTTTGAAGAAAAAATCTTGATCAGATTTTTCAGAGAAACAATCCGAAGAGATCTGTACAATTCTATGTACTTAACTAGCAATTAGAGCATGCAAATTCAGTTTTGAAACAGAGGAAATTGCTAACAGTATAGGATACACCCCAAAGGAAGGATCAGGCCTTTCTCTTCCCCGTGGATGTATGTTTTCCCATTATCACTCTTTAAACCACCAACCACTGCTCTGTCTCCTCCTATCTTTTCCTGACCTATTTATTGGGGTGTTGGCAAATTTCCAGCCCTCTCCAGCAGTGATAATTCTTTATCTGTGTATAGAAAAGGCAGTCTATCAAGCTGTGAGGTTAAGTTGGTGATGAGAAAGTATTTTAGAATTTGTATCCAAATTGCAAATACATTTTTATTTGAAGTTGATTTTGAGATGAGATATAGACTTAATTTTTCCATCTGTAGATCAAAGTTGAAAGGGAAATTACCTTAAGTGCATTCAAATGCCTTCTCTTTCCATTTTCTCTTTTATCAGCTCTCACAGAGAATGCTTGTTTGAACTGAACTACTTATCAACACTGGCCAGAACAGAAATATCCTTTTAAAATCTGTTTTCAATATGTTTCCTCTGTTTCTCAAGTTTTTAAACAGAAAATCCAAACATAGCTGTTAGGAAAGCACTTTGGAATTAATAATGTAGATTTCTTTTCAGTCAATTTTGACATGTTTCAAGCTTCTTAAATTTTTTTTTTTTTTTAATCCAGACTGGATATTCTTATGGAAGAAGAAAAAAGAAAAGAAAAAAAATATCTAATCAAATATCTGAAAAATATCTGTTTTCTGACCTTGTAACAATCTGAAAAAGAAAAGAAAACCAGCGGAAAATATATCAGGCTAGGAGCAATGATGCTAGTTGTAGCATGTTTACTTTGGAAAATACTGAGCTGGAAAATAATTTGTTTTACTGGAAAATATCTGCAGTGCTATGAAAGGCAAATAAGCAAAAATCTGATTTTGATTAAGTAGTAGTGGTGTCTAGTAGTAGTGTCACTAGAGTAGAATCAGACTTCTACTACTAGTACTGCTTGTTTGGAAGAAAATAAAATCATTCAGCATTAAAACCAAACCAAAAAACCCAAAACCCCAAACACACCCAAACAAGAAAACTCTAAAGCAAGCAAACTGTATTTAGCAGAATTTTCTAAGAATTTCCAGACACCAAACAATGGAAAATTTTCAAGAAATCACAGGACCCATTCTTATGTAAAATGCTGAGTTACATTTTTCTGCAACAAATATTAAACTGGCAGAACACCACTTTGGAATTAACATCCTTTATTATTATGAAAAGCCCTTATTCTACAAAAATACCACAGAGGAAAATTCAAGTGGCTTTTTAATCAATGGCCATGTGAATAAGATTGATTATTTCAATTCCCAGTAAGTTTAGAAATCCTTTTTGCAAGAGTAAAGAGCAATTGGTTTATACAACCAGAAGAGTGGCCCGATGATAGGAAAGGTTAGGTTGTTCTTGGAATACAGTGGGTGGGCTCCTAGCTCCCAAGCTGAATAGTCACTGACCTTTAATTTGTTTAAGTTTCCAAATATTAAACTGAAATTTTCTAGTTGAACAGGAGTTTTTTCTAGTATTTATTCTATTTGTTCAGCTGAAATTGCCGTACTCAACTCTGCACCTTCTCATGTTTAAGAGGTTTAAGCAAGCATTAAACCAAATGCTGGCTACAGAGACCCTTTTGAAACCCTCACTAATGCAATGTAAATCTCTTCAAGAGAAGGATTATGTTCAACAAAGGTATTCTTTTGTGAACAATAAAGTAAACTAGAAAAATTCCTAGAATTCCTATACTAGAAAATTTTCCTGCCACCCGCAAAATCTGGGGATTTGTGGCTTAGACTGACAAGACTATGAAGGTTGATATATCTCAAGTTCTGTGCTGAATGCCATGACATAAACCACATGTATATCCTGTGGCGCTACCCATCCACCACCTTGGTACCCGTATATATAATTTGTGCCATTTTGAAATTACTGCCAATTCACATTGCAGGCTCCTGTGGCTGTGGAGAAAATTCCAGTTTCAGAAAGTGCTTTCTCAGCAGTGCTCTATAGAGGTCAATATTGCCACAACTCTGTGTCAGCTCACTAAAGTGAATTTTTAGTGAATTACGCTGGATGAAGACACCTTGCTGTTAGAAGTGGCTCTGGAGTTTGGGTAAAACAGTTGAGTTACTTGAATCAAAAATGCTGGGTGTGCTGATAACAGCAATGACTGTGTTTACCTGCTCAGATTAATGATGTACTAATGATTTGTCTATTCGAGCTAGGTCTTTTAAGTTCTCATAGACAAACATTATAACTTTGATAGCTTAGCTACCTCAGGTGGCATAAAGTTAATAGGATGGTTCTTGTGACAGTGCTGGAAACAAAAATTTTTAATAAAAGGCAAAATACAAAAGCTCTTTACAGAGGAAAACTGAGCCAAGGCAAGAGGTTCTTGCTGCTGCTAAACCACTTCACAAGAGTTATTTACTTCTTTTGTTCTCTTCTTTTCTAGTGAATTGTTTAAGCAAGAATTTTTAGCTTCTGTCTAATTGACTATCCTTAAGTTTGAAGTGAAGTCTCTAAAGAAAATTTAAAGTGTCTTTTAATCAAATTAAAGAGAGAAACTTCTAAGCTTTTGTCCTTTTTAAGGAGACAAAAAGTAACTTTTTTACCCTGTCAACAGGGAGCACATTCCTACAATGTACCTTCTTTGAGACAATAGCTTTTTTGGGAAGACATGGAAGTGCACAGTTCCTCTCTGAACTAAGCAGCTGTGGGTGGTGCAACAGGTTTGCTGCAAGGTCAACAACACTTGGCAGCCTACTACTACATTCAATGTACTAAAGCAGTGAAGGTGATATTTCTAAAATGATCTGATAGTTTTGTGCAGCAGTTCTGATTCAGTCATTGAATTGCCCTTGTGTTTTCCATTAGATTTCAGTTGCAGAGCCTGAAGAAACTGTCACTCTTTGTCACAAAGTCACAAATCTGTGGCAGATAGTGATTAAAATAAATAGACCCGCAAAAGTAAAGCCTGCACTATTTTTCATAGTAAGGGGCTCTTGCAGATGTTGATTTATTGGAGACTTAACCATTGTGTTCACACTGGCAAACCTAAGATGTTTGCAATAGAGTGGTTAATGAAAATCTTCAACTGCATCAAATAACACGATTTTAAAAATCAGTCTTTAGGGAGGTTGTGTACTCAAAGATTCCTTGTTCTGCTGCTTATCCTTATTGCTATTTCTAAGAAAGCTGGAAAGGTTCATCAAGCTTTTGAGGTAGACATTTCAGACTACTCTTTTTAGAGCTATTGTTGAATGTACATCACTTCTGCTGGTTCACCCAAGGTAGCTGTCACTGTTTTTTCTTCCAGTTCAGTTGCTCACAGGATGACTCATTTTTTTGTCCATCTTTAAAATACATTAAAAAGAGCTTTGAGAGAGAGACTTACAGAACACCAAATCACAAGAGTGAAATATATTTTGAACTGTACCATTACACCTCAAATACTTTCCTATTCTGAAATATAAAGAGAAGGATCTAGTAATATAAATTTGTTCATGTGTAGTCTTTTGCAACCTGCTGAAGAAATGGCAGCACATCACGAAACACTAATTTCCATGTCACCTTGTATGATGATGTAATTCCCTTGCAAGAGAAGTAAATTTTCTGCAAAAACTAAACTCTTCTGCTTAAGTGTATTTTCTATCTACTCCAGTTGGTTTTTTTCAACTTCAAACTGTATATTTCAACTAATAATAGGATATTAGTTGAAATATTATTTTATCAGTTGGAATAGTATTTATATTATTATTTATATAATGAAAATCTTATTTAATACTTATGCAAAACCACATTTCTATAATATTTTTATCTGTCCTGTGGAATTACAATATTTTGAAAATATTTTATAAATTATATCAAATATAGATATCCCGACAGTTTTCTGCTTGTTGGTAGTATCTGGAACTAGATGCTTCAAATGAAGAAGCTGTAAGGTTGCTTCTGCAGGCAGATGGATAATGTGATTGACATTAGGTCACAGTGAATCTCCAATAGATTAAAATGACTTTGAGTCTAAATCTCAAAATGTGCATCTTAATGGTTTACAGCAATGTTGTTATCAAATCCATATGTTTACACAACTGTAGAGTTTCAGCCTGTTTTTTATCAAATTATTGACCCCTGCAACAACTAATACAAAATCACTCATTTTCAAGTTTTCTACCTTTTCTTTTTTTTGTGTGTCATTAAAAGACCCTCAGACCCTAATTTTGCTTTCTCTACACCATTTATCTTGATCTGTTTATTATATGCTTTCTTTGATTATTTTTAATGGTAGTCTCTGAAAATATGGCAGATAATTAATGGGCACGCTTTTAGACCGAACTGAAAAATTTTCCTTTAGTCAGAAAATTCCTTCCAGTCACAGTAGCTACGTTTCCATCAAATTAATAATATGATTCTTTACTTCTCCTCTGAAACTTGTCTTTAAAAAATATAATGCTTTACATTAACAATGAGAGGTTTCATTTTAAGTTGCTTTCAGAAATTATAACTTGACATAGAAGATACTGCCTTAGAGGTTTAGTTAAGACATTGACTTGATGTAGATATTATTAACACCATATTTAGTTGCAAAAGGTCATTCGTCTACAACTGTAGATCATTTATAAAAAAAAAAACAGCCTTCACTTAGCGATGTCTGTGAAAACATTCTCCAGCCCATTTGTGCCATTGATTTGTGCTTTTTCAGACAGGCCCCCTGTGACAGAGGGGTTGAGGAGCAGCTTCTTGCAGTGTGTAAAGAGCTGGCAGAGTAATTATTGAAGGATTCAAGGTACGGCTTTATCCTGGATACATACTTTACAGAAATATTATATATTTTATGCAATTCTATACATATACTTTATACAGTTATTGAGGGATTGGAGGTATGGCTTTATCCTGGATACACACCTCATATAAATATTATATACTTTATGCAATTATATATATATATATATTTGATGAAAGATTTGAGGCATGGCTTTATCCTGAATCATTGCTGGGATCATTTCAAGGTACCAAAATCTTGGTAAATCATTAGCAATGAGCACTGGCAGCCCAGAAAGGCAGCTGGGTTTGGGCTGCAGCAAAAGCAGGGTGAGCAGAGGATGGGGAGGGGATCCTGTCCCTCTGCTCTGCTCTGCAGAGGTCCCACCTGGAGGCCTACATCTAGCCCTGGGCTCCCCAACAGTAAAAGGGCACAGACCTGCTGGACTGAGTCCACCAGGATTAGAGAGATGGAGTAGCTCATGTACAAGGAAAGACAGAGAGAAGTGGGATTGTTCAGTATGGAAAAGAGAAGGCTTTGGGGTAACCTAACTGTGCCTGAAAGGAGCCAGTGAGAGAGATGGAAAAGGACTTTTTGTCGGGGGTGCAGTGGCAGGACCAGGGAAATGGTGCACACTGAAGGACAGTAGGCTCACATCAGATATTGGGAGCAAATCCTTCCCTGCCAGGGTGGGGACGCTCTGGCACACATTGCCCAGAGGAGCTGTGGCTGCCCCATCTCGATGGGTGCCTCTGGGAGAGCGGGGAAGGCTGATGCCTGTACAAGCCCTGCCCTGAGCTATCCATGTCCCAGTCCCTCTTGTCAGCACTGCACGATCCCACAGAAATAAGACAAAAGGTCTGGAGCATGGGACCACTGATTTCAAACCCACCTGCCTGCCAAGGCAGCTGACGATCACGCTGCTGGGATGCAGAGAATTAACATTTGCTTCAATGATGTGTATTAACATCCAAAATGACACATGAAAATAAGGGTTTGCAGCCAGAGATGGTTCCTGGCCAAGGCTGGAACTTCACACAGCAGAAAGAGGACAGGGCCAGCTCCTTCCAGGTGTCCCATGCACTTCACTGGAGGCTGTGCATTCCTGATAGCCATGCACAACACAATTCTTCTGGCTATCACCTTCCTACAGACGGTGTAATGTTGGAGAGAAACCCAAGCTGGGTGCCCAGAGAGTTGGAAGATCTGCATGTCTCATCCCTCATCCCTGTTTCTTGCTCTTGGAGAGACTCAATCCAGGGCCCTGGGGCTCCCTGCTGGCTCCAGACGGATCACTCACCATGAGGAACTCCATTCAGTATTTGGATGTGGTGCATGAGCAACCTCATAGTAAATTACAGATGTGCCTTCATCCTTCCAATCACACCTCCCTCAGAAAATGATATCAGACATTGTCACTGCACTTGTCTTTGTCCAAACCCACAGAGTCTGGAATTAGCTTCCCTGTCCTTTGAAAGACTTTTTCAGTTGTGTCTTAGCTCAGCTCCAGTTCTGTGATTTTGCCTGGGCCCAGGTCAGTCGCAGCACTGCCTAAGAGTGACCTGCCCTGACCAGGTGGGTCTCTGGGTACTGGGGCACTGGAACTCTTCCAGCCTCTTCTCTGCTGTTCCAGGGTGCTTAACAGCTAACAGAGCTGGCCAGAGCTCTCTTCAGACACTCCCCAGGTCCCTGGCATGCAAGTTCTCCAGCTGATTTTAAAATATGGATAGCTAGCTGGTGGTATTTGGCTGCTTGATAGACAGGAAAGAAAACATCCTCTTTTGCTAAGAATTAGTTTTTTGTCTTCCTTCTGTCAAACAAAGAGGAACGATGTCTTGAATACACCTGCAGCATAGCAAATAAAATTCCAAACCTGCCTGCCTGTGCTGGGCCTGCTGCTGAGACACATGCACAAACAGTCTTTTTGGTTCTTCAGAAAGATAAAAATGCCTGTAATAAAAATGACATACGTAATATCATCTCTCAAACTGTTCAAGAAAAGGGAAATTGGAACTTTAAGTTCCCACTGAGAGATGTTGAATCAAATCTTCCCCCTGAGTTTGCACCCAGTAATAAAATACTGATTTTTTTGACCAAACAAATAGGTCTATATGAGGACATCTCAGGAGGCTCTCATGGCGATGCAGACAGAGCAGAGAAGAACATTAAAGGTGAAGTGTTAGTCCCCTGAATTAATGCCCTGATGGAGCCAAATTTTTTTGCATAGAGACATAACAGCTTCTTCCCCTTGTTTCCGAGTGTCTGAGTCGCCCTGTAACTCATAATCTGCACTAGTGCAGATCAGTCTGACACGGGTAAGTAACACATCCAGCTCCTGTGTTCCAAGGCACATGTCTCCAAGGTAAATGGAAGTCAGGAATACAGACACAGCTGTGGAAGAAAGAGGAGAGAAAAATCAGAACAGATATGCTTCTATTTCCCCACAGGATTACCATGACAAGCTGCTTGGTACCTCCTGGACTATGTTTTCAAAGAGTTCCCTAACTCTTTTCCTAGCTGGAAAATCCAGAGTGGCTTTGCCCATGCAAAGCCAACGATCCTACTCACAAGAAGGAACAAACCAGTTTCCTGTTAAATAAAGCAGCTGGAAATCTGACCTGTCAGATACTCTCACTGACCAGCAACAGGGATCAGCATCCAGGCCCAGTGGAGCTGGGCTTTTTTGCAGACTATTTTCCCTCTTGGATTTATATTTCCTTTTCACCTTTTATTCCAATTTAGTCCCTGAAAGGGAAGTTTCTTAGAGGGAGTGGGAGTGTTGAAGTGTCAGAAAACCTCACAGTGTGGCCACGCTCTGTGCTGCCCACTCCTGCCCCCGTCCCACCAAAGACACAGCTTCTGCTTTGGGAAGCCACGAGCCTGGGTGGATACGGGAGAGCTGATTGAATGGATTTAAAAAGCCATGGAATTCCCTAGTTGCTCCCACCACTGCCTCGTAACATGGGTGATAAGAACAAGACAAGTCACCTGTCTTGTCCGCATCCTCTTCCACCGCTGCTGATAGGCACAGAGATTTCAGAAGCTCGTGGAAGGTGCTGAACAGGCCCTGCTCCTCCATTAGCTGCAGCACGATGGAACTGAGCCCACCGAGCTGCCTGGAGAGCCCAGCCGAGGTGCTGCTGGCCTGGCAGGGCGGGTGCAAAGCTTGAAGAGGCTGTTCCTCAGTGTCTCATCCCTGAACATCTCCCGCGCGGCCGCCGGGTGTGGCAGGACGCGGTTCCGCAGCCACCTCGGTGCTGGGGACACGTCCTGCTCCCCGAGGGGCTCTGCCCAGCCAGGGACCTCACGCCACGCAGTGACAATGTGAACAGATGCAGAGGTGACAGCCACTGCCTCACCCCCACCTTCACCGGCTCTGAGGGTCTCCCCTCCGTGTGTGGAGGGTGGTGCTGGGAAAACAGGGTCCCAGTGGGCAAGGATGGAATTCAGATGTTCTCTGCATTTCTCCAGCTCAGACATTTCCACATCTGCAGCAGCATCATCTTCTTCCACCCCGTTCTTTTTCCGAGTATGACAATACACACGAGATGAGGCTTGAGGTTTGTTCTTTAATATTTTTTGTAAGAAGATAACCACCATCAAAACAAACATCAGATACTCCAAAGGATTTTCCTAGAACAAAATTGTGAAGCAAGGTGTTCTCCTGTGCTGATTCAGTTGTTACAATGGCAAGTACCAGCCTCGTTTAGCAGCCTCATGGAGCCTGTGCTGTTCAAGGGGGCCCCGGGAGCTCCAGGGACTCCAGGCTGGAACCCTGTTCCAAACTGGACCACCCAGCCTGGGCACGAGAGAAGCTCCTGAAGCCTGGAGCAACACAACCCACACATGCACTAAGTTACAGGCATCATTCCACAAACCCTCTTCACATCTTTCTGAGGAGTTTTAAAGGGTGAAGAAACTGTAGAAAAGCTAAAGCATTTACAGAATCCCTAAATACATGACACTTTCTTAATGATACAGAACATTTAAACAAACCCACAGAAGCTTTAATGTGCACCAAAAGCAGCTGCTGCTGCTGCAGGAAAATAGTGCTGCTTTAAGACCTCCCACGCCCAAGTTCCTTGCACTTTTTGTTCACAAAGAGAACAACAGAAGTCACACAAGTCCTGCATTTTTTTTCCTTTCTTTAAAACTGGTGACAAGAGATACCAACTATTAATTTTCGCTTGCTTTACTTACTTATTGTTTTTACTTACACATCTCTTTCAGATCCCTATTCACAGCTTTGAGCACAAAGCCTCCAGGCACCGCTTCTTTTCTTAAGATTTCATTAAAAATACCCTTTTTCAAAGCCTGACTCAAGATTTGCCACTAAGTTTCATTTTAAAGCTCTTTCCCTTCATAAACTGCGTTTCTCCAAGGCTTCCAAATTGTGTTAAGGTTCAAAATCACCACAAGGAAGATCTGAAAAATGCCTTTCCATTTCCTTTCCTCCTCCCCCAAGGTATATCAGTCAGACAGAAGGTGTTAGTACTACTGCCAGAGAAGTTTGCCTCATTTGAACTGCTGGCCTGCAACAGCTACAACAAAATACACCTTGCTGGAAGTATTTCAGCACTTACTGAGCAATTCTTTGTTTCAGTCCTTCTGAGCCAGGGCCCGCAGGTCCTCCTGCAGCTGCAGGTCTTGGCTGACAAGGCTCCACGTGTGCAGCAGCAGCAGCAGCAGCTCCCTGCTGGAGAGGATGCTGTCGCTGACCGTGAAACGCCTCATGTCCCTAAACGCCTCCAAAACAGCACGGTGTTCCAGCACAGAGCTGAGGGTGCTGAACAACTCACTCAGCTTGATAGCAACTGGGCATCACATTTTACTTGATTCCCCATGTATTCAAACACCTAAATCCTCCTGTCAAAGCCATCCATCTAGCAGAGATAAAGAAAGCCTCCTGGCCTTAATAAAGTTTAAACTGGACAAAGGATGAAATGCAAACCTACTAAAACAAAAAACAAAACAAAGGACTTGCCGAATATGTTTGATTAATGTGACCAAAACACACAGAAATTCATTTACAAGCTCAATAGGAAGAAGTTTCCTATTCTCCTGGGATTGATTCTTGTCTTCTTTGTTGTCTTCTAAATTTGTTATTCATAGAGTATGGAGTAAGGAAATAATTTTATTTATTACCTTGTTCTCCAGAAACCTAAAAAACTAACCAAACCAACCAAACAAGCAAACACAAAAAATGTATTTAAAAGGCATTTGAAAAGCATATTTGAAAGGCAGATCCTCAGCAGCAGCTGGTCCATCTCCTAATCTCCTACAGGGGACCATATTCTATTTTTGTGAGGGGGAGGCAAGGGGAGGAGAAATAATGTTCTAGACAGCTCAAATCTACCACTGTGCCACCTCCTGTCCTGCAACAGGATGGAAACTGAGGAGGCTTGACATTTAAAAGGTAAAGACACCAGCACAAGGTGCCATTTTGCTTTTTCAAGGCAGTGATTTCCCAATAACAAAGCCCCCCCACCATCATCCCACCTACCACAACCTGAAAGCAACTTGATTCTGTTTTCAAAAACACAAGGGAGGCCTCAGAGTTCAGCAAGTTCTGCCAGGGCAGCCCTTGGTGCCCCTGTCTCCATGTCTGTCACCCTTGCTTTCATCCACAGACACAGAATTCTTCTGCTGTGGACAGGAAAATTGTTCCCATTTCTCCTGTACTTCTCTGGTTACCTTTTCTCCAAGCCGGGCGGGACCCACGTCAGGAGGCTGCGATCCTCTGTCAGCTCTTAGGCAGCTCTGGTGACACGGGCAGCACTTTGTAATATCTCCAGAATACAGCTCTGAAACAGAAAATGCAACTTGTCCTTTTACAGCCAAGATTTTCCCGCCCTTTTTGCCGCCCTCACGGGAAGCTCGGGCGAGCCCGCGACAGCCGCTCCCAGCATGGCGGGGCTGCAGTGCCGCTCTCTGCCCACGAGGCGGCAGCACCGCCGCCCGCCACAGCCGCGGGCAGGGAAGGCGGCAAAAAAGAACGGGCGCGATCCCCTCCAAAACATCCTCCACGATAAATGCTCAGCTGCTGTGCGGGACGGGTTTGTCCCGGCACTTGGGGCTCCCCGGGATCGTGTGCCAGGGAATAAAGCCCGCGCCGCGCTCCCAGCTGCGCTGCCGCGGTTCTGTGGGCTGCGCTGGGCTCTGTTTCCCGGGGAGCAGCGGGGTGGGGTCCCTGTGCCACCCCCGGGGGTCGCACGGAGAAGCTGCTCCCGCGGTACGGCCGAGGATCGGGGGAAACCTGAACAGTCCTGATGGAAACCGCTGGAAAAACAAGTTTGGCTCGGTTTTGACATTTTCCCCCGAACCCCACCTGGTCCAGGTGTTTTGCCTTAGGAAACAGGAATAGGAGACTGAAGGGGTAATGGAGAGAAAAATAATTCATTACCCCAAAAGGGACGAGCTTATTTCTATTTATTTCCTGATGCACCTGGAATGATTTGAGTCTCAGGAGGCACCCGGGAGCCTCCTTTTGTGTCCTGGCTGGGGCCGTGTCTATAAAAGGGGTAAAGGTGGAGGAAGGGGGGTCCGGGGGGAGAGGAGCAGTGGTTGGGATCAGGGGTGCCCTGGGGATTTGCACCTGGAAGCGGCCGCCAGTTTCCTGATGGGAGCCCTGGAAACACAGCTCGGAGTCCGTGAGAAATGCGAATACTGCAGCTGGAGTGCTGAGAATGGAGGCTCTGCAGAGAATGTCGTCTGGTGAGTCTCCCGATGGCCCACAGCTAATGCTGTGCTGGCACCAAGTCACCTCATTGCGATTTAAACTCTTTTGAAATACGCTGAAATTACAAACTGGCCTACAAAATGCACATGGGAAGCATCATGTTCCTAAGGAAATGCTGTAGGGATGTGGAGCTTCTGAACTGCACCAACAATCCCCGCTCCCACAGAAACCTGCTGGGCCGTGGTTCTAGGGCAAGGGTGGCAGAAAAGTGGCACCTTCAGTGCCACCCTAACAGGGATTTCCCTTGGAGCTCTCAGGATCGGGAGGAAATGGTGTTCCTGCCCCTCTGGGAAAGCGGGAGCAGGATCAGTGCTGCAGCTGTGTCTTTTTCCTGCTCTCTGCAGCTGTTCCAAGGATGCCCTGGAGTGCTCTGGCCCAGGGCAGGATAATCTGTGTTTAGAGCTTCCCCCGTGCCTGGGTGCGCAGCTGGGTCAGTCACTGAGCTCCCGTAGAACCCCTGAGGTTGGAAAAGCCCTTTGTGCTGCTGAAATGGCCCCAGGACAAACCTTCCCAAGCTGGAAGCAAAGCCAGGGGCAGGGAGGGGAATCCAAGAGGGTGGTGGAAGGGCTTTCTCCCAGGTCTGGACACCTCAAGGCAGGGGTGATTTTTAAGTGTTGTTAAATGCTGCAGCAGCTCCCTCCCCATGTGAGAGCTACCTCAGCTTGGGTGAGTGTGAGGATATCCAGCTCTTCCTTAGGGCTTGGGGCATGGCAGGGTGCAGAGCTCACGTTAAATCTTGCTTAAACCCTTTTAATATCAAAATGCATTAAAACAGAGACTTTGAGGAAATAACATAGAAAAGTCTGTTGCAAGCATAGGTACAAGCTGTCTTTATTAAAGATCCACATTGATGGATGTTTTGTCAAACCACTCTGAGGATTAACCCCTTGTTCTTCTGCTGGTAGGGCAGCATCTGACCATAGGTCTCGGGGGCTTTGTGGAGATTCCTCCCTGGAGCAGGGTCACCCCATGAGGAAGAGCCACAGGGGTTCAGTTCTTGGAGCAGGTGAGGATCTCTTTCTGCTTAGGAATTGCTTTTGCTGGTTTTAGTGTCACAGCTCCAGTGTTCCTTCAGACATTGTGCCCTGCAACAGCACTTGCAGCTCCTGTGCTGGGTTGGGAGCAGTTCTGCTGTGGGAAATGGACTCATAGAAAATTGTCAGAGTTTGACAGAAGGTTTACATAGTATGTATCTGCATGGAAATTTTGAGATATGCCATGGAATAGGACAGACATTGTTGAGAGAGAAATGGAACTAGAAACAAGTTTTAAAGGATGAGTTTATAAATAAGACTAGATACTTTAGAGAAATAGAACTAGGAAAGATGCATTGTAATAAGATTCATGAGGGAAAATTTTAGATGTTTGGTTTTAAGGTGTTTACAGCATAGTGTAGCAAAAGCTGATAGGCCAAGAAAAGCTTATTGTAATTAGGAAATACTTGGCTTCTGATTGTGATGGTGTGAATTATAACATCTGTATTGTCTCACCCTTCATGTGAGACTGAAAATGGAATAAAAGTTTTTAAAAAAACTTCTCAGTTGCCCCATCTCTGGGTCAGAAAAGGACATAATCTGATAAACTGGTGCTTTGTGTGAGGAAGATTTATCTCTCTCAATGTCCCATTCCGTAGCATTTCTAAGTCAGCATTTCTTACCTCAAATTCTGCATACAGATGCACACTGTGAGCCTTCTGTCAAGCTTTGAGAATTCTCTACAAATCCATTTCCCACATTCCGGGCAGGGCTTTCAGTCCCATCAGTGTCCATTTAAATCAAGCTTGTGTCATATTTCCATCAGTCTCTCTGGCCTGGCACCCTGGGTCCCAGGGGACAGAGCTGTCTCAAGGTTCAGTCCCGTCTGTACTGAGTCCTGCCAGCGTTTCCAGCAGCAGCTGCTGGAGGCACCAAGGGCTGCCCTTGGAGCCTGGCTCTCCCCTGGGCTTTTACAGAGCGTTACCAACTCTGCCCTTCAGGATCCAATGGTTATTTTGAACACTGATCCTACAGCTGGATAGTTCAGCTGGCAGGGATTGGAGTCAGCTCTTGGGCCCAAAACAGGTTTTGTCCCACAAAGACCAGCTGAACTTTCTGAGATAGCACACAGATAATACACTGGACTTTGGGGTTAATAGTTAGCGTTGCCAGGTGATTATTGTAAGGTTGAACTGAAGTGATCTTATGGTTGAGAGCTGCATCTTTCCTCCTGCTGACAGAGGAGGCAGAGCTGGGACAGGGCAGCTCTTCCATTCCTTGGTTCCACCAAATCCTGTGTTTTTCTTCCTGGGGCTACTGTGGCCATGGATTCCCTAAGTTACAGGTAAGAGTTGTGCTGACATTGGAGTCTTGGAGGAAAGCTGGGCTGGAATGTGGCAGGAGATACTTCATGTGGAATGTGTTCCTGAGGGTGTTACAAGTGCCTGGCTTTTCTGTGGGAAGTTTTAGGGAGGATATTGTTACAAGGTAAATGGTCCTTCATGTGCAAAGTTCTACTTTTGTGTCAAAAAGCCTTGGGAATGCTCAGGAACACAGCACGGGATGCTTGACCTCTGAAATGGGTCCTGTTTGGTATAAAATACCCATTTTTTAGTGGTTTGTGGTTTTTGTGACCTTGGAGGAGTGTGGGGCTGGCTGGTCAGGTTGGTGTCTGAGAAGGGGAAGGTGTCTGGGTTCCAGCAGCACTCCCAGGGCTGCTGCTTTGGGTGTGACACAGAACACAGCAATATTCCTGCTGTGCAGATGTGGCAGGGAGTGGAACAGCAAGTGGCAAAGCTGGGTTTTGCTCCCTAAATCCCAGAACAGCTGGGTTTAAGTTCCATCAGCCAGAGGAGGGAATGAGCCCTGGTGCCAGCCCTCCTGGGGGCACTGGACAGGTCTCACCATTTCTCTGCCATCATTTGCATGGTGTGATTCTCCCTTGAGCAGAGAGGGCAGAAAATGAGGCAGGAGGGGAAGCTAATTTTGTTTCTGCAAACTCCAGGCTTGGGGCACCTGCAGAGCACTTTGTGTTCAAATAATCCTGCCCAAATACATCAGCTCAAACCTCTCTTGGGCACTTTTGGATCCCTCTCTGCCACTCCTCCTCTGATCTTTTACCTGCGAGGTGTGGGCTCAGAAACATCTGCCTACTGGATGGGTTTTTACACATACAAATTTATTTTCTTAGAAAAGCTATAAGGGTAATGAAAATCTGTGGAGAACAGGTGGTTGGTGCACTAGGTGATGGTAGGTCTTGGGCTTTTCTTCTTTTCTTTAACCTGCTCTTAAGAGGACCCCTAAACTGGAAAACTGAAAGTTTGGGGGTGGGGGGGAAGTTCTTTTCACTTTTTAAGTGTTGCTGTGGGTTTTGGTATGTCAAGTGACCCTACCAAAACAGAATTGGAATAACTGAACTTCAGGACTCTGCACTTAATTCTTTTAATGTGTTTGTGTGGGTGCAGGAAATGCCAAATCCCAGAGAAATTCTGTGTCTGTAGCATTAAGTGCAACATCTTTAAAGCCAAGTGCTCAGTGTGGGCTTTTCACGTGGATGCAAACGGTCCCAAAGCCGTTCCTGTGCCCCAAAAGCCAGAAGGAGCCTGCCAGAAGCAGCCTTCACTGCCTGTCTGGGATTGCAGTTTGCTGCTGGAGCCTTCCCTCCATCTTCCCTCGGGTTTTTGTGCCAAAGGGGATCTGACCCCGGAGCCACACAGGGCGTCTGTTGCCTTGGTAAGTGCCAATGAAATTTGCCAAGTCTGTCAGGAAAGCAGAACCATCCTGGGGTTTGTTTGGCCAAAGGTGGAACATGAAGATGTCCGTAGCAGTGGTGGGTGGGGGTGCTGCCAGTTTTGGGTTGTGCAGTGCCTCTGGTCCCTCAGCAGTCAGGGCACGGCTGAAGCAAGGAGGGAAGCTGCAGGTGAGGGCAATATTGGCTGTTTCTTGCTCCAGAACTGGGAGTGCTGGAAGAACAGCTTTCCTCCTTCTTTCTCTCCTCCCCTGAGCAGAACATTAGGATGGTGCTGCACTAAGCTCTCTCTTTTGTGGGTTCTTGCTTGATTGGTTGTTTTTTTTTTTTTTGGCTTTTTAACGTATTTCTAAGTGGTGCAATGAGGAGCAAGTTGTTGGGTTGCATGACTTCTGACTGACGTATCACAGAAATGGGCATACGTGTGTGCACGTGCTTCCTGGCAAATCCAGGTGTGACGTGGAAATCCCAAGTGAGGATGTCCAGCCTCGGCTACACGTGACACAGGCTTCTGAAAATGGAAATGGCCTTGGCAGAGAAGCAGCTGTGAAGCGAAGCAGAATTAAAATGCATGAGAGCAGAAGAACCAAGTGAAATGGTACTTCTGGGTGCTGTGTGCTCCTCTGGCCTCTGCCTGCTGTGAACACTCTGTGTTGCAGCTCGGTGTAGTCCAATTCAGTGTTTGTTTGGTTTGATTTTTGTGTGTAACAAAAACACTGGTCAGTTACTCTGAACAACTTCCCTCCTTTACTGGACACATCCTGGAGTGGGACCAGACTCCCCCTCACCCTGGAGGAATTCCCTGCTCCTCTGGAGAGGGGGTGAAGCCAAAGCTTAGGAGCAAAGGCAAACCACCAAACCAGGGGCATTCTATATATATCCAAATAAGGGGCTCTGTCTTCCTGCTTTTCCTGTAGTTCTCCTTCCTGGTTTCACCTGGGCTGAAAGGATGGGCATGGCCTGTATTTATCATCTGAAAGTAGTGTTACTAAATTTGTCCAGAAGTTCTGATTACAGACGCTCATTTTCTGCCAGAACACATTTTCATTTCATTCCTTTCACCCAGGATGGCTGTCTGTGGTCTCAGACAGTGTTCCCTGGGAGGAAGGGCAGCCTTTGCCTCGCCTGCACAGCTCAGGTGGATGTGACAGAACTGGTGTGGCCTGACAAGGCATGAGCAGCTGTCTGTGCACTGGAGTGCCTTGAAACCTTTCTCTGTGAGGTTTTGGACTGGTTTCTCCTTGGGATTTTCTTGTGACACAGCAACCCAGGTGTCCCTTCCTTTGTATAAAGTCCAATGGTAAAGGATTGAATGACTGACAAGTGGGGCCTGGGATAAAAATGGTCCTGTTAAAATTAGGCTAAGATTGCAATAAGAAAAATGAGCTTCCTTTTAATGTCTGAAATAGTTAGGAATAAAAATGCTGGAAAATGCCACTTTTATATTTGAATTGGTGTCACCTCTCATGGATAAAACCCCATAGTGAGCAATCCCAGCAGAAGTTTTAAAGCCACGATCCTTTGGCTTCCACAGTGAACTTAATGTTCTTTTCCTCCTCTCTTTCAGGACAGGAGAAATCATTGAGCTCCTCCCATCTTTGCCAGAAGCTTCAGTGTTTAAGCAGCCAGAGCCAAGAGGCTTCAGCACCAGGGGGGTGCACTGGAGGGCTCCTGGTCCTGCCCACGCTGTGGGGTAAGTCAGAGGGACGCAGGGTTCCCCTTTTCCTCTCTGCTGGGATTAAGTGCCTCGGGAATGCCATTTCTGACAGCCCAGCCGTACCCCTGTGTGCTGGGAAAGGGCAGCAGGGAAGAGGCAAATGCCAGAGTTCCTTGGGGCTGACGGAGCTGTGGTGTTTGGCTGTGCCCAGGGGGGCAGGCTGGGCATTGTTCGGGCACCCAAGGACTGGTCTGGGGCTGGGAGCCCGGGGAGCCGAGCTCTCGGTGCATTCCCAGCTCTGCCAGCTGCTGCAGGGCTGGGTGCCAGCCTCTGCTGGGGCTGGGGCAGGAGCTGCAGGGGAGGGCTGGCAGGATTTGGGAGCAGAGGGAGGAAAATGAGGAAGGGTGCTGGGCGGCGCTCAGCCTGTGCTGGTGTCAGCGCAGCCGTGCAGGGCGCCGGGATCTGGGTTCAGCTCCGGCTCTCCTGGGGTTCAGGGTGCAAGGTCGGAGGGACTGGGTTTATCTGTGGCTTTCCAGGCCAGCAGGAACAAGGGGAATGTGGTGCCAGAGCTGTGTCCCATCGGGCTGCGCTTCCCTCTGAGCACAGAGTCTGGGCTGAGGGGAGATTGCTGCGAGTGCCCCGTGAGCAATCCAGGGAACTCGGAATTGCATCCGCTGCTGGGAACACTGCCTGAGCTCTGCTCAGGCTGTGTCTGCGAGGAGTGGGATTTGGGCTGCAGAGGTGCTGCTGGGCACAGAAAATGGAGTAAATCCTCTCCAGGGACGTGCAGTGAAGGACAGTGCAGCAGGGAAGGGGAATATTTACAAACTATATCAATATTTCTCCCAAAACTGGGAGAAATGGGGTGGAGCAGAGATGGGGGTGGTCTGGATTTGTCTGGGCCTATTATTCCTTGTGCAAGGTTTTAAATCTGTTGTACAATTTACTCTCCAGTATCTTTCTAACAAAAGCTGACAAATTTAGGTTCAGGGTTAGAAGTTGGGTCCATTCACTGCAAAACCTTGCCCAGGCTGGAGGACTGGGGTGATGACTGCTCTCAGCAAAGGTTACCTATTAATACTGTGTCAGATTTCCCTCAGTGCTGGGCAGGAAAGGTGAGGGTTTGGATCAGGAATTCTGCAAACAAGGCCTGTGTGATGGTTAGTTTATTGTGTTTTTCAGGGAGCCAGGGCTGGCACAAGGACTCGTGCAGGTGCTGCTCTGGCACTGGAGCTGTTGCCCTGTGGAGCCATTTTAAAGGTGTGATTATGGAACATTTTGGAGGCCGTTTCTGGAATTCCATTTGTAGCTGGATCTCGCTCCGAGTGCAGCAGTCCAGGTGAGGGTTCTGACCTCTCCAGACTTGTGCTCACCTTGGTACAGCCCGGGGCTGGAGCAGTTTTCCAGGGAAGTGGAGATGGCTGAGGATGGGTGCTCTGGAAAGCAGGGACCTGCTGGGATTTGCATTTGCAAAGCTGCCGTGAAGTTTGTAAAAGCAGCATGAAATTCTAATTCCTGTGGTTTTTGGGGAGGAGGTGCAGGTCACCCTGAGAGCTAGACCAGAACTGGTTTGTGGTAAGGAGTCTGAGGTGTGTAAGTCCCACAGCTGGTATGAGCTGTGTGCTAAATGCAGTCCCAGCCCCAGAGGGAGGCTGATGGGCTCTGCTCATTGCTGTCCCCAGCTGTCCCCAGCCCGCTACTCCCCCGTGGATCTGCTCTGGATTCGGGCTGTCGGTGCTGGAGCGCCCTGCTCCCTGCAGGGCCCTGCCCCTAACCCACGCAGAGAGAGTCCAAAGTTATCTTTTTTCATTTTTTCTCCCTGTGCTGTTAGCAAGGAAGGGATGGGACTGCTCTTGGGCTGGGAGCGAGTCACTGCTCAGATAAACACCCGCCTCGGAGGCCATGAGGGTTTAAAGAGCAAGCAGCTGGCTGTAGCTCAGAAGCAGTCACAAGTTCTTTGTTCCAAGGCAGGCCAGAACTTTCTAACCTCAGGGGCAGCTGCCACAGGGTTTATTTTGCTTTTCTAACCCAGCACCTCTGCTCAGTTCTGCTGCACTGAGGGTACTTTGTTCAATGGCTTCTGTTATAACTTGTAAACTCTCAGTTTACTCTACACAGCCCCAGCCCTGCCCTGCAAACCCTTCCCCATCGTGCCCACACAGTTTCTCTCTCACTCACTCGGGGCAGGCTCTTACTGACAGCCACAGAAACAGAAGTTATTTTATTATTTTCCTGCTTAATGGCTGTCTTGTATTGGTACATCAATCCCAGCTTATCCCAAGGCTGCAGATCAAGTCTTTCAGTGTCTGTGGGAGTTTCTGGTTTTCCCATTCCCACGCCTCCCCTCTCTTTCTGTATATAAAAAAAAAAAAAATTATTAATGGATTTCTTAAGCATTTGTTGCATATATTAACATAAAGAAGGTGTTATCATTATTATTATTATTATTATTATTAAAATGTACTTTTGTTAAAAATTTTTTTAATTATGGTTTTAAATTTTATTTATTAAATTGTTATGTTTTAGTAGTTATTATTTTTGATATTGCTTAAAGTTGTACATTTTTATAAGTAGATTTTGTGTAGTTAGATAAATTTATACATTTTATTAAAATTTTTATATTTATGTTTGTGTGTTAATAAAAGAAATTTTATTGTTTTTTTGTAAAACTGCGTGTTTAATATTTAGTGTAAGGGATGTAGAATTAGATTGTTTATTTAGATAATATTTTAATTGATTTAATTGTTTTAGTGTTGTGGAAGTAATAGGTGGTATAAAAAGTGATGCTACCATTTTTATTTTAAGTTTCAAGGTTTAAAATTACTTCTATATATTGATTACTATTGATGGATAAATTACTTTTCTTTTAAATTGGTAATTATTTTTATATTAAGAGTTAATAATGTAAGAGGTTTTTTAATTATATTGATTATTTGAATGTTTTTTATTGGTATAGTAAGTAAGTAAAGAATGGATTTTTTTTAGTAGTGATAGATAAATACGAAGTATTTAAACTTGAAACTTTAGTTAAAGTTATTCAAATGTTTGGTTTAGGTTGGTTAATTGGTAAAGTGATATAATTAAAAGTAAATAAAGTAGATAGAGTAGAAGTATAATACTTGATAGAATTTTATAATTTGTAAGTTATTAAATAAGATATTTATAATATTGATTTTTATTTTTATAAAGAAACTTAAAGTTTATAGTTTTTTGTGGGTGTCGTACAAGATGAATAAGTTGCAATTGTTGTGTATTTTACGTTTGTGTAATTTACATTTGTATTTACATAGAGTAATTTATGTTTGTATTTACACTGGTTTTTTATTTGTGGAGTGGTGGGTGTGTTTTTTGTGTGATCTGGTTTTATGTTTCCTATTGAAATTTACTTGGGTTTTTCTACTTGTTGAGATATAAGTAAACTATGTTTTGATATGAAAAATAAAGTATTGTTACATTTTGTTTTATAAAATTGGCAAGAGATTTGCAAGATAATAAGTTATTATTATAACTTTTTAGTTATAGGTATGAAGAAATATAAGAATAAAATAATGTATGTAGTGAGGAAGAAATTGATAATAATTAGGAATTACTTAGATAATATCTATAATTAGTAACATAGGTGAAATTATATAATTAGTATTAAAAGATTGCACATTATTTTAGAGTTTATAACAGTTGATAAATGTTAAATTAGTGGAAAGTTGGATAATTATGTGTGGATAATGAGTTTTTCAGTTTATTTTAAAAATAAATTTGTTATACTGATAAAGTAAAATTGTTAAGTTAAAATTATTTTATTTTTGATGTAGAAGACACCTGGGTTTGTTGTTAATTATTTTATTTAGGTAGAGTTAGGGTTTGGTTATAGTTTAAATTTTAATTGGTGGATGTTACATAACAACTATTTTTAAAAACATATAAAAATATATTAAGAGTAAAAATGTTAGGATTAAAGATTAATTACATTATTTAATAATTGGATTTTTTAAGAAGTTTTTAAGAATAGAGATGCTTTGAATATAATAAACTTTTTTTTTAAGATTTGAAAGTGGTTATAGACAGGATTGTGAGTTTGGATTTGAATATTGAGAGTGTGAAGGTGGAGGAAATGTATGAAAGACTGAATACTTAAGTGTGAAACTGAAAAATAAATTAATGTTGTAGTTGGATTTTTTATTTAAGTGATTTTGCAATAATAACTGAGGAAAGTGATAAGATGAACAGCTTGAAGGAGGTTTTTAATGAAGTTTCTTTTTTTGAATTTTGAAAAACAATTAAAAGTGTGAGATAACATTAGGTTAAATTATAGTTAGTGTAGAGATTAGTCAACTTGGTTTAAGAGATGTATAAATAGAGAAAAAAAGTAGGATTTAGAAATTGTATGTGTTTCTTAGATAATTATATAAAGAGATGATAAAGTCTACGAAAGTTGGTTGTAAACATAATACTTTATAAATAATGTTTATTATAAAAATTAATATACTTGTATTATATAATTAGTATAGTAGTAGTAAGAGTTTGAAAAGTTAGGATAACTTAAAAAATATTTACATATTAAGGAAATAAAGTAAAAATTTTAAAATACTGTAATATTAATAGCTATTTCTATTTTTTGGTGTTATTTATAAAAGATAAAAATAGTAGAGATTGTGATGAAGAACAGAATTTTCGATGAAATTGATGATACAATAAACTGTGTTTCTTTTACTTCAGAATAGGTGTTTGTTAGTGTTTTATTTTAGTTGTTTTAATTGGAGTTGTTTTATTTTTCTTAAGAAAATTAACCATATACTTTATAGTTTAGATAAATTATTTTTAATAAAATTTAGGAGAAGTTATATTAAATAACATTTAAATTTAGACTGAATGGATTTTGATAGTAAGGAATAACAAACTTAATTTTAATAGAATATTAAAGTGATAAAAAGAAACTTAATGTATTTAAATATATTGATATTTAATTTTGTTTGATTTTCTAAAGACTTAACATATTGTTATTATTTCTGTTATTATTGTTATTATGTATAAATATTGAAGGTTTTTTAAGTCTTTTGGTTTTGGAGAAATTTTAGATTGTTGAGTTTATGATTATTACTTACATCTTTACAGGTTTTTTTTATTTATTGGGAGATATGTTTCTTAATAAAAGATTTTTATTTATGTTACATTACAAATGGTGCTAATTTGTATAGGTTTTTTTAATATAGGATATTGATTAGATTGTTTTATATTTTTTGTGGGCTTTGACAAATATTTATTTACATGTTTAGGCTTTTCTATATTTGAAGTATGTTTTGATGGCTTTTGTTGTTTTTTTAAGAGTTTTTGATTTAGAATTTGAAGAGTATTTGGTGTTGGAGGAAATAAAGTTTTTGGATATGGTTGAGTTGTATTTTTAATGTTAGTAAGGACTACTTTTGGCACATTATTTTGATGTTTTGTTTGGTTATGGGGAGGGTCTCCTGTTAGATGTGTTAAGTGTGAGATAGGCATTAGGACTCTGTCTAATGGTTTATGAGCCTGTTAGGGAGGAGGTGTTATTTTAAGTCTTATAAAATACACTGAGAATTAGTTAAAATCATGGAAGAAACATTATGGTAATTAAAGGGTGTTATGTTAAAGAGCTATAAATCTTTTTTAATAACTGCTTGACATAAGGTGAGCTTAATCTACTTCTTCTGCCCTAGAAACCATCACACACGTCCGCATCAATGGCACGACCTCTGCCCACTGCTCCTGTTTCACCCAACCAAAATCAAGAGCAAAAGTTGGTTGGGCTTTAAGAACTTGAAATAACTTTGAAGCAAAATAAATCACATTTTTCCCCTGTGTTTTTTTCCTTTCAGATGCTGCACTCACCTCTGTGGACACACACTGAGCTCTCACTGCAGGAACCCGTCAGGCCTCGGTGGCTGTGAGTTCATGTTCTTCTCACTGGGGAATTGAAATAATTGCTGGTTAATTGCAGAAATGTTTTCTGGAGCCTTTCCCCTTTTGTGCCCCTGTGCTGTGTGGGACAAGGGCAGAGGAGCCTCGGGCTGGAAAGGGGCGGGAGAAGGCGAAGGGACCCCCTGGTGTCCCCAGGGCTCTGTGGGGAACAGAACGGACACTGTGCGGGCACGGGGAGGTGAGGAGTGACAGTCTGGGGCCAAATCCCAGCTCACCCGCAGGGAAATAAGTGAGGGACATTTTGGAGGGGAAAGCTGAGGCCATGAGTTCACCCAGCCTGGCCAAGTTGTGTTCGCACAAAGTGGCACCGGAGACGAAGGTCAATCCAGAGCCCACCCTGCTCAACCTCTAAGTCCCAGAATAAATTCTACAAGCTGCCTGTTGAGGGATTAAAAACACATAAAAACAAAACCAAGAGCAAACCAGAAGGTTCCTGGGAACCCCATTATAGTGTTTAACAGAGGTGTAAGTTTTTTATTACAATACTGCGTTTCTCTGCTGGGATCATTCACTCTGTGGACTGTGGGGATTTTTTGGGTTTGAACTCCCTCCCAGTGGCCCTGACACTGCTCAGGAGCTGGAGGAAAAGCAGAGCCAGCGCTCCTGGCAGGGACAGGGAGTTTTGCCCAGAGCAGATCCAGCAGCTGCCCTCCAGCCCAGCCAGGAGGGATCTGCTTTGGCTCCTGGCTGCTGCAGGGACAGAACGTGTTCAGCTGCTCCAGGTGACATTCCAGCAGCCTCATCTCCCATCCATGCTCCTGCCCCTCCTACTCTCAGCTCCCACCCCGCCAGCTGTGCCAAGGGGAATTTGTCCCACCAGCAGCAGGGGAAGGACAAGGGCTCCCACCCTGGCACTTGGATTGTCCCTCTGGGGGATGCTGGCTGCTGGGATTTAGATCATCCTGTACATATGGCTGCTGAAATTTCCCAGCCCAGGGGCTTTAGCACAAACATTATTCTCTGTGTGGTGCCCGGATTTGGGGTTCAGTATCAGCTTTGCTAGTTCAGATGAATTATACCCACAGCCCCTAATTCCCTACTGAATTCCTGCTGGAATAACCTGACAGTGCCTCTTGGAGAGTGGAAATTCCCATGCAGAGCTGCCACTTTAACACCAGCTGTGTCAGGAACCAGCAGAGGTTCCAGGGAAGCTCAGTAGGACAAGGACAGGTCTCTGTTCTATAGAACTTGCTATTTAAAACCCTCATCCCCCAGCCCCAGGGATGTCTCTGGGGTCACTTGACAGAGTTCCCTGGAATTCAGCTGATTTCACCCCCCGGAGCTCAGGCTCCAGTTGATATTTTAAAGCAGGACAAGGCGGTGGCTGGCTACGTCCCCGGCCTGTGCTGAGGCAGAACATCTCTCCTGCAGAAGCTCCGCTCCTTTCAGAGCCTCAGCAGCAGCCTCAGGAAAGAGATGCACATCCCTGCTGGCAGCACGCCTCCAGTGGGACCCACCTGTGAGTTTTCCATCACTTCTGCACTTCCAGATGGAAATTTCTAAACATCATCCCACTCAAACCTCTGATTTCAAGGCATCTCCGAGGCCTATTGCTTGGCATTTAGTATCTGTGAGGGAAGATCGCCTCGGTTCAAGTGCTGCTGGTGGATGATGGCATCAGGCTGGAAAACAGGGAAGAGATTTGGGGTGGCTGGGACATACCTGGCAGCTGTGTGGGAGCTCGGGGAGGTCAGAAACAGGGATTGCTGTCAGAGCCCCTCTGCAAACGGCCATGCCTCCATTCCCAAGTGATGCCAGCCGTTCCCTAGGGTCCCTCTGGGCTGTCGGTGGCGTCTGTCCGGGCTGAAGCATCCCTGCGTGCCTGTGGGGAGCAGCCCCTGGCCGGGGAGCCACGGGCAGCCCTTTAGCCGTGTCCAGTGCCCCGGTGCCCGTGCCGGGCCGTGCGTTGGGCACGCTGCGAGCCACGGGCCGGGCACGGCAGCTCCTGCCCTGCCGAGCCAAGGACCGGAGGTGCTCTCTGCCCTTCGGGGGCTCCGGGCTCCTGCAGCCCCGCACCGGGCGCAGCCGGAGCGGGAGCGGCGGCCCCGGCGGAGAGGCCGCTCGGCCGCGGCGCTGCAGCCGCGCTCGTCCGGCGGGGCTCCCCCGGGGATGCGGGCACGGGGAGGGGGAGGCGGGCGCTGCTGCTCGCAGGGGAGCGCGGTGGCCACGGGGCTACCGGGACGAGGGGAGCTCGGCATCCCGCGGGGGCTGCGGGGCGGCTCCGTGTCCGCCCGTGGGCCGAGAGCGGCGGTGCCGATGGGGTCCCGGCCCCGGCACAGCCCCGGCTCCCCGCGGCCACAGCGAGAACGGGACCCGCGCCCCGGGCCGGCCGGAGCGGCAGCGCCCGTCCCGGAGCGGCTCTACCCGCCCGCGGCGATGCCGGTCCCGATCCCGCCCCGATCCTCCGCCCCGGCACCCCCACCCTGCCCGCCGAGGAAGGAGCGGCTCTGCCCGGCTCCCACAGCAGACACGGCAGGACCAGGACCCAAATCCCCGGGCCCAGATCCCGATCCCACCTGAGCGCCTCGGACGCCGCGCAGCGCCGGGAGCAGCCCCGGTTCGGATCTCCGCACGGCGCCGGGAGCAGCCCCGATCCGATCTCCGCACGGCGCTCCGAGTGCCGGTCCCGCCGCAGCCCGGGCCGAGCATCCCCCGCAGAATGTGAGGCGGGCGCGGATCCGCCGCCATTTACGGGCGGGAGGGAAGGGGCGGGGCCAGCACAGGTGCGCGCATGGGCGGGGCCCCAGCGCGCCTGCGCGGGGCGGGGCCGGGGGGATTTAAACGGCGGAAAGGCCCCGGCTGCGCCATTTGCTGCTCGGCGCTCGGTGTCGGGAGCTGTGGTCGGCGGGGTCCTGTATCTCTTTTTCTCTGTATTCCTTTTCTTCTACGTTTCTTTTCTTTCGTTTTTCTTTTTTTCTATACCTTTCCTATCTACCCTCCCCCCCCAAGCCTCTCCCCTCCCTTCTTCCCGGGCGGTCCCCCCCCTACACTCCCTTTCCTCTCCTCCCTCTCTGTTCCCCTACTCACCTCAACCCTACCCTATCCATCCATCCTGTCCTTCTTCCTTCCCTCCCCAACCGGACTCCCCCGTGCCCTCTCTCCCTGCTCTTCTTCCCATCCCACCCCGGCTCCTCCTGCCGCCTTTCCGTGACACCTTCCCCCACTCCACACGTTCCGCCTCCTTCGCCAAACCTCCTTCAATCTTCCTTTTCCTTCCTCCACCCTGCCTTCCCCCCAGCCCCCTCCCCGACTGCCCTGCACACCCCGACCTCTCCCCACCTCTCCCTGTCCTTGTCCCCTCCCCCTCGGCTGCCGCTCTGCTGCCCTGTTCTCGTTCCCCATTCCCGCTCTCCTTCTTTCCTCGCAGCCGCGGGGCTCGGGGTGCCGGATAATAAAGCCCAGAGGGCCGGAGCCCGGCGCCCCCCGCCCTCGCTGGGGTCCCCACACGGGGCAGGAGCCGCTCTGCGGTCCCCCCATTCCGGTCCAACACAGCGCCCGACACTGCCGGGGCTCCTCTGGCTTTCCCGACATCACACTGGGGTGTTGGGGCTGGGGGGCAGGGAGGGTCCCCTCCGGAGGGGGTCCTGTGGGTGGGGTAGGGGTTCGGAAGGGCCAGCACCTTCCACGAGCTTGTAAAATCTCTGTGCCTATCAGCAGCGGTGGAAGAGGATGCGGACAAGACAGGTGACTTGTCTTGTTCTTATCACTCATGTTACGAGGCAGTGGTGGGAGACACTAGGGAATTCCATGGCTTTTTAAATCCATTCAATCAGTTCTCCCGTATCCACCCAGGCTCATGGCTTCCCAAAGCAGAAGCTGTGTCTTTGGTGGGACTGGGACAGGGGTGGGCAGCACAGAGCGTGATCACACTGTGAGGTTTTCTGACACTTCAACACTCCCACTCCCTCTAAGAAAACTTCCCTTTCAGGGACTAAATTGGAATAAAAGGTGTAAAAGAAATATAATTCCAAGAGGGGGAATAGTCTGCAAAAAAGCCCAGCTCCACTGGGCCTGGATGCTGATCCCTGTTGCTGGTCAGTGAGAGCATCTGACAGGTCAGATTTCCAGCTGCTTTATTTAACAGGAAACTGGTTTGTTCCTTCTTGTGAGTAGGATCGTTGGCTTTCCATGGGCAAAGCTACTCTGGATTTTCCAGCTAGGAAAAGAGTTAGGGAACTCTTTGAAAACATAGTCCAGGAGGTAGCAAGCAGCTTGGCTTGGTAGTCCTGTGGGGAAATAGAAGTATATCTGTTCTGATTTTTCTCTCCTCTTTCTTCCACAGCTGTGTCTGTATTCCTGACTTCCATTTACCTTGGAGACATGTGCCTTGGAACACAGGAGCTGGATGTGTTACTTACCTGTGTCAGATTGATCTGCACTAGTGCAGATTATGAGTTACAGGGTGACTCAGACACTCGGAAACAAGGAGAAGAAGCTGTTATGTCTCTATGCAAAAAAATTTGGCTCCATCAGGGCATTAATTCAGGGGACTAACACTTCACCTTTAACGTTCTTCTCTGCTCTGTCCGCATCGGCATGAGAGCCTCCTGAGATGTCCTCATATAGACCTACTTGTTTGGTCAAAAAGATCAGTATTTTATTACTGGGTGCAAACTCAGGGGGAAGATTTGATTCAACATCTCTCAGTGGGAACTTAAAGTTCCAATTTCCCTTTTCTTGAACAGTTTGAGAGACGATATTACTTATGTCATTTTTATTACAGGCATTTTTATCTTTCTGAAGAACCAAAAAGACTGTTTGTGCATGTGTCTCAGCAGCAGGCCCAGCACAGGCAGGCAGGTTTGGAATTTTATTTGCTATGCTGCAGGTGTATTCAAGACATTGTTCCTCTTTGTTTGACAGAAGGAAGACAAAAAACTAATTCTTAGCAAAAGAGGATGTTTTCTTTCCTGTCTATCAAGCAGCCAAATACCACCAGCTAGCTATCCATATTTTAAAATCAGCTGGAGAACTTGCATGCCAGGGACCTGGGGAGTGTCTGAAGAGAGCTCTGGCCAGCTCTGTTAGCTGTTAAGCACCCCTGGAACAGCAGAGAGGAGGCTGGAAGAGTTCCAGTGCCCCAGTACCCAGAGACCCACCTGGTCAGGGCAGGTCACTCTTAGGCAGTGCTGCGACTGACCTGGGCCCCGGCAAAATCACAGAACTGGAGCTGAGACACAACTGAAAAAGTCTTTCAAAGGACAGGGAAGCTAATTCCAGACTCTGTGGGTTTGGACAAAGACAAGTGCAGTGACAATGTCTGATATAATTTTCTGAGGGAGGTGTGATTGGAAGGATGAAGGCACATCTGTACTTTACTGTGAGGTTGCTCATGCACCACATCCAAATACTGAATGGAGTTCCTCATGGTAAGAGATCTGTCTGGAGCCAGCAGGGAGCCCCGGGGCCCTGGACTGAGCCTGTCCCAGAGCAAGAAACAGGGATGAGGGATGAGACATGCAGATCTTCCAACTCTCTGGGCACCCAGCTTGGGTTTCTCTCCAACATTACACCGTCTGGTAGGAAGGTGATAGCCAGAAGAATTGTGTTGTGCATGGCTATCAGGAATGCACAGCCTCCAGTGAAGTGCATGGGACACCTGGAAGGAGCTGGCCCTGTCCTCTTTCTGCTGTGTGAAGTTCCAGCCTTGGCCAGGAACCATCTCTGGCTGCAAACCCTTATTTTCATGTGTCATTTTGGATGTTAATACACATCATTGAAGCAAATGTTAATTCTCTGCATCCCAGCAGCGTGATCATCAGCTGCCTTGGCAGGCAGGTGGGTTTGAAATCAGTGGTCCCATGCTCCAGACCTTTTGTCTTATTTCTGTGGGATCGTGCAGTGCTGACAAGAGGGACTGGGACATGGATACCTCAGGGCAGGGCTTGTACAGGCATCAGCCTTCCCCGCTCTCCCAGAGGCACCCATGAAAGCTGGCACCAAATCGCTCTGTATTGCAGAGACGTGTGGGCTGCAGTCGGATCGTGGATTCCATCCAGGACCTCTCCGTGTCTCAGGATTCCACTGTGGCCTAAGTAGAGAGAGCTGTTGCGTGGCCTTTGGAAGGCACTGTGACAGTGCCTGGTTTGTGTGCAGATGTGCAGGTAAGAACAAGGGACTCTGCTGGAGGGCGGAGGGCCCTTGCCAGGAGAGTTAACCCTTGGAGTTACGCAGTGGGGGAAGAGGTGGGCGTCATGCACAGCCAAAATTGCATTAATGCTGCATCAAAAGAGGTGGGGGAATGGGGGGGATTCTGCCTCTCTCCCCCACCCGGGTGAGACCCCACCTGCAGAGCTGCCCCAGCCCTGGGCTCCAGCACAAGAAGTATGTGGAGCTGTTGGAACAAGCACAGAGGAGGCCATGGAGGTGCTCTGAAGGGTAGAGCCCCTCTGCTCTGGAGCCAGGCTGGGAGAGCTGGGGGTGCTCACCTGGAGAAGAGAAGGCTCCAGGGAGAGCTTGGAGCCCCCTCCAGGGTCTGAAGGGGCTCCAGGAGAGCTGGAGAGGCACTGGGGACAAGGCCTGGAGGGACAGGACACGGGGAATGGCTCCCACTGCCAGAGGGCAGGATGGATGGGGTCTAGGGAAGGAATTCCTGGCACAGGGTGCCCAGAGAAGCTGCCTCCTCTCACCAGGACGTGGGTGAGCTGGGAGAGCACAGGGGGTCCTGCATGTCCCTGGGCTTGACAGAGATGGATGAGCAGAGAAACAGTGAAGGTAAAAGTTCTCCAGCCTTGACCGGGGACGTGAGCGTGTGTTTGTTGGGTGAGTGTCTCAGGATTATTGTAAGAAAAGAGACATGAGGTTTCCACAGAAATACTGGATGATTGTCATGCCAAGGGCAGACACAGCAGAGAGGATGACAGGGCAGGGTGTGCAAGTTTACACCTGTGGCTTCTTTCAAGCACTTCACTGGGTTTCGGTGCTGGAATTGGGAGAAGTGGAATTGAAGTGGGGCTTAAAAAACAAACAGAACTCAAGCAAAAAGGACAAGTTTTGTGGGTGACTGGGTTTAATAGTTTCTTCAGTCCTAAAATTATTTTCTCACAGTATTTTTCAAGCCTAGAAAAATGATAACATTGGATGGTTTCAAAGCCTAAACAAATCTCATTGAATGCTGTTTTTCGTTAATGATTTCTGGGCACTCCAGAAAACATTTCTAGACTTGCCTTGTTCACAATGGCTCCTTTGATGGCCAGAATTGAATACATGAGGGATAAATATGTGTATTTTTAAGCCAAGTATTTTGCTCAGTAACATGATGAAAAAGTGCAAAAAGCTTTAAAAATGAATACTTTGTTTTAGTCTTGAAAGAGCTCTGAAATTTTCAAGTACACAGACTTCTCCTGCCAGTTTTTTAGGAACAGTAAATTTTTGGTAACATGCCTCTGTTACCCTGCAATTTCACATCCATTTCCATGTCTGTTGTGTTGTTAGTCTGCCTCCTGCTTTGTGGTTTATTTGGGGGGTAAACTGCCTTTTTTTATTGTTTTTGTTACCTTTTGTGAGCGTGCCAGAGGCCCTAGGGTGCCAATAAATGAGAATATTAGTGCTCCCTTTGACTGCTGTTTCCCTCTGCTTGTTTGTGACCTAATCCTGAATCTCCGCCCAGCCTGCTGAGCTGAATTTTCTGATCAGATAAGGAGGAGCAGTGGGTTAAGAGACACTCTGACCAAATGCTGACAGGAGTGTCCCCTCTGTGCAGTTATAAACGTTATGTGTCATTGCTGGGTCACTGGAGGTACTGAATATTTCTTTACTACAGGTTATTTTTCACACTAGTACCTACTTACTTAATCTCTGGTTATAATTACTTTGCTGGCGTTGATCTGGAGCAGGACATACACAGCAAAATAAGGAAAAGAAACATCACAAACACAGCAAGGCCGACCCAAAAGGCAATGACGATGGAGTCTGTGGGCACAGCAGGGTAATTCTGTCACGTGCATTCTGCATGCAGAAATAAAACACAGCAAGGTGGTTTATCATCTCTAGTAAAGGTGTGCTGTTTAATCCATTCCGTTTCTCCTTTCAGAGAGAGCACTCCAAGTGCCAATTTGTTAAAGGTCTTGGGAGCCTCCAGCAGGGATGAGGGGGGGCTGGAAAAAGCCTCCAGAGAGTGTTCTGGTGACTGGACCTGTGCAGATGTTGGAACGTGGCTCCTTTTACACAACCACAGTGCAGGAAGCCTGAGTGGTTACTGCCTAATCCTGCAGGATCTTTGAGGAGAGGCCCTCAGGAAGGGAATTCCAGCCTTGAGAGCAGTTTATACCAAGAGAAATAGCAAGGGGAGTTTGTTGCCAAGTGCCTGTGCCCCTCCCAGCACATCAGTGCAGTGGAAGAGAATGTGCCCTTGCCCTTTTCAGCTGCAGTGCCCCTGCAGCCACCATGGCAGAGGGCAAGCTCCTGCCCGCTTTGCCAGGAGCACATGGTTTATTTCAGGAACAAGAGGGCTGCAGTGCCAAAGTGTGTCCACAGCCGGTTCAGTGGGAGCGTGAGGTGCTGGGGGAGCAAAGGGAGCTGCTCTTTCATGGAGGCTTCAGTGCTGTGCCAATTCTATTGCCTGAGCCTTGGGCTCACTGAGGGAGGGGACGGATCCGCTCCCGCCCCCACACCACCTTTGGCCACTGGTTCCAAAACGCTCCTTCCTGGGGTCACTGTGGTGCTGGGGTGGCCTTGGGAAGTTTGGGTGCTCTGCCCTGCACTCACAGCCGGTGGCTCACTTCAGATGAGGTGGAAAAAGAAGGGTCACTGACTCCAGAGACAAATACTGACCAAGATAAAATAAATCTTCCCTCTGCAAGTACAGAAAACATTGTGTTCTTTGAAACAGGTCCAGTATGTTTGATTCAGTGCTTCTTTGTGAAAAAGTTCGGTATGTGTTGGCATCAAAGCCACAAAGAGATTAAGAGAATGAGCCCAGTTCCTTTTAAACCCAAAATTAGAGCTGGCCCAGCTGTTCCCTTATCAGAAACAGGAGTTTAGGCTGGGCTACTGAAAAATATCAGTGGGCAGGGCAGCTTATTTTATTCTTCCTTTGCCCAGAGACATTTTGAAAAGCCCAAAGTTTTGAAGCGTTCCATACCATTGGGACAGAAATTATGAGTCTGGATTTATAGAATTCCCTGTCAGAGCTATTTTGGCTTTATCTTTTAAAAACAGTTATAATAGATGTCATGGAATTCACTGAAGCCAAATAAAATGGCTCCAGGGCTCACGTGGAACTTGAACCAAAATTTCCTGGGTTTAAATTCTGCAATTAGCTGGCTTTTGCTTGTTTGCTTTTGTTTGTGGGTTTTTTTTTTGGGTTTTTTTGGTTTGTTTTTTTTTTTTGTTCTTTAACTGGAATAAGGTATTTTCATATTTTACCAATCTATAAAAAGCTTTCCTGTTGCTAAATTTTACCATCACATTTTGTGCATATGTGTGTGCATGCTTATAAATAGCCTATTAGATCATGGGCCAATTAAGATTTTTCATTATTTTCGTACAAAATTGAGAGAGATGCACAACATTACAAATAGAAAACAAGACCATGGCTTTTTCTCTGGGTTTAGATTTATTTTTATGAGACAAATTCAGTCTCAAGAAGTTTCAGGGACCAGCCACATAACAGAGGAAAAGAAGTGCAGAGAATTAGGTCTGTGTTTCCCATTCAAAAAAAAAAAAAATCCCCTAGCAGGCA